TGCAAAAGTGTCCAGAATGGTCAGACCAGTTCCACCGAAGGAGTTGCGACCCGCCCTGGAGCACCATCCGTTTGAGACTCTGCCTTTGTTATCTTTGTTCGCCGTCTTAGCCCTGACCGGACCAAGTGTCCGGCGCCGCGAGAGGTTGTAGCTCATCCTGACCCCATGCATGCCTTGAAGCCAGACGGACTGCAAGTCTGCCAAGCTTGATAGCAGTGCCGCCTTTCGTAGCTCTGCCAAGCATGCTTGAATGCATCTCGCACCTGCCGCTGCACATCGCTGTACACAACCCGTTCGCTAGAAGCCCCAAGAGCTGTTAGTCCCCTCCATCACACCCTGTCAAGCTGATGTGCGAGGCGATGTGCTCTAAGCAAAAAAGTGCAGATGAAGGACGTGCTAAGTATATTCGGCCTTCTGATTTACATCCAATGGCATCCCGAGCCTCATCAGCCTTCGTCTGCCACTTCACATCGCCAGGTGCAGCTTTGGCCCTGCAAAGAACACACAAGCAAGGCACTTTTAAACGACAGCTCTCGACGTGTCACACGAAATGTCACGAAATTGTGGCATGCCCGGACCTGAAAGCTGCTAAGTACGCAGACGGAGTGTTGTAAGTCGTGCCTCATTGCTCACGCATGTGCTGCGCAGAGGATACGTTGAGTGTGAAGATTCTGCTACTGCTCCTGCACTTGCAAGCCACTGCCACGCATGTGATGCCCATCGCCTGCCTGGCTCTTCGTGGGCAAAAGACAGTGACTTCAGCGTCGCTGTTCGGAGTGCAGACCTTGCTTCCCGCACGGCATACTCATGGCATGCTTTCAACAGGCATAGATGAAGGGCGAGGTAGGGTTTCGGCTGTTGCCGCTTTATCTCCGCATCGTCGCCTACCTGCACGGCTTGAGGCTCTGAAAAGAAAGCGGCTCCCATGCGCAACCCCCTGCTGGACGCCATGCCTGCTCCACCCAAATGTCGATGACTCCAGGGCGCAAACCAGTCAAGCGTACTTGAACCTGTTGACATGCATATTGGTGTATTGAGCATATTTGAGAACAACTGAAATTATTTGGAGGGTCGAGCCTGGCCAGTGACATTGGGGCTGAAAAGCCCAGACTTGGGCCTCAGAATCACAGAACGGCACCTCTCCAAGCATTCCAACCGTGGAACAACGAAGTTGCTTTCCGAGGGGTCTGACGTCATCTTTATTGCATTCTGCTGAGCCGTGCTACGGAGAAATAGCTGGCCTTCACGAGCGTTTGTAACCAACCGTGGAACCACTGCATACCACTCCGTGCCACTTCATTCCATTGCGAGGGTGGGCCTTGAGAGGTATTGAGAGCCACCGGATTGCCAAACTGATCCTGGAGTTCCGAGAGCGCAGCATTGCGCAGCTCAAAGTCTGATTCTCTACTCTTCACAGCGCATCGGTTTTGGGGGACCAAAATGTCGCCACAACCCCCGCAGGGAGTCCTTTGAAGACAACACGATCGAAAGGTCCTGGTTTGTCTGCCACGCACCTGTCAGCAACATGCACTCTGCTACACGAGAATCGCGTGGAACATGAACAAGCGAAACCAGGCAGTCCTGCGGAAGCTCGCAGGCCAGTAGACCTTCCCCGTCACCGGATTTCCATCACAAGCACACAAAGTTGCTGCAAAAAAATCGCTGTGCAAAACTGATTAGTCATTGGACGAGAGGCTCCACGTGAAGAGAAAAGCTATGCGTCGGACCCGAGGTGAATCGTATCCTGCGTGCACCAAGCCGATTGCTTGCTGGCATCTTACACTGCTGAAGCCAAGCAATCATCCCAGGAACGGTCCGAGATTTGTGCAGTAGGATGTCTGCCTGAGGGTATCACCGAAGAATCACGGAGGTTAATGAAGGCAATCTAAATACTTGCTTGGAACATCCCTGGCTGCCTCTGGATCCGGACTTTCGATACGGACTTGGGCATGGACAACCTGCCAGAATCTGAGGTTCACGTTCGACATATCAGAACATATCAGACCATGACTTTCAGCTATTTACTTTGGACACTTTCATGACAGGCGTTGACCTGCCACGACCCACTCTTTGCAAACTCTTGCAAACTTTCGATCTGCTGCGCTCTCAGTTGGAGGTTGCCGAGGTTCCGTGCTTGCTTGGGCGCTTCGGGCTTTTGGAGTTGATGGCTTTAGGACCCAGGCCGCAAGGACTTTACCATGGCAGTGTCTCGATGATTTCAATTGGAATGCACTCTTGTGGCCTCCGCAAGCTCGTTCTCGATGTCCAACTCCAGCTGTGCCAAACGCCAGGCCCGGAAAGGTCCCTCGGGATTTTGTGATAGTGTTCTGGGTTCACCCTCTGTTACACGCACTTCAGTCACTCTCTGATGCACCTCCTGAAAAGCATGGGGATTATGCTTATACTCCATGCTTTACGTTCTGACCAATTCCGAACTCATCAGCAAGCAGGCACACTTCGTTTACCCAACACCTGGCTCTGAATCTTCTGCCTGACCCTCTCACCGGTACGGCCTACTGCTTCCATCCCGATTGCTCACTGGGATGCTGGCTCCTGACAGGTGGGCTTTGCCCGTCAGGTCGACGTCGACCTTTCGAGCTCTCGGATTGGCCGCTCAAGGGCAGCTACAGCGGTTCAAGAGCCGAAAAGAGCCCAGAGAGCCCCCAAGATTGATGGTGGCATATCGTCACGCGACTGGGATCTCAAGTGGCTTGGCCGCGGACTCGCAAAGCTCCGCAGGCAGCAGGTCGCGCCTATCCCGAAGCGAATAGGAGGTGCAGTCTACCTCAATGTCCCGCAACGTCCACCAGTTCCCCGCCTGCCGACCACGCGAATCACGTGCCACCAGAACTGTTCTAAACGGCTGTCCAGCAACCGCCTCCGAGAAACAGATTGGCATGACCGGTTGCGACCACACACGGGTTTCGAAAGCACATCCTTAAGCACCCATCGAAGACAAACTTCAGCCTACCGAAGCTGAGATAAAGATTGTCGTTGAAATCACGCCTGATCCGACCCGCCCAGAAACATCCATCGGAACCTCAGCCAACGAGGAGCTCCTGCTTGTGTGGACATAAGTTCAACAGTGGTGGTGGTGATGGACCTAAGCACGATGTTGAATTGAACTGAGGTCGGAACTCAGTAGGGTCTCCGCAGCACCCGCGCAGTGCCTGCATCTTACAATCTCGCGGCTGCACCTTCTTTCCAACGCTTAGCGCTGTGACCAGTGCCCAAAGAATTGAACCGCCCGCTTGAAAAATCGCAAGTAGGTCTGCCAAGAAGCTGGAGACGGTCCCCTGAGTTGCGAGTCACCTGCCACCTGCAAAAGCGCTCTGAGACCGCTCCGTGAATCGCACACTCCAGAAATGGCCATGGCCATGGCCTCGCTGATGGTTTGTGGAAGCTCGCTTCCGCCGATGTCAATGAGCTCAGAAGGAAGAATGAAGAAGCCTTCACAGACTGGACACACTTCGACGTTTGGGCCCCCAAGCAAGGATGAGTTGCAGGACAAGTCGCACAGCAAGGCTGCTATGCAACATAGCACCAGCAGGCTGCACCTTATTTCGCCGACGATCCAGAAACAAGACCGACGAACTTCTTTGAAAATACTATCCCGATTGAAGCTTGTGTCCACTTACCCCCTGATTCCCCCAATCGAGCACCAGGCGAATGGTCTTGATCCGTACACGGCACTTTCTTGATGTCAGAAACCTTATGACACGACACGAAGGGCCATGGACCAAACAACCATGAACATCGGACCAAGGCTTTTGCGTCGTTTTGGATGCTTTCACAAGAGTCGTGCCAGCCACCTGCCTGAGCATGGCCAACAACTTCGTTCGCGACGCCACTGTTCTACTTGCCGCCTTGGATCCTCTCCAGTGTATGCACCTTGACAGCCGACCACATGCGCACCGAACATGAGCGTTCCGACCCAAGGCTGTTGCTGCGACTGCGGCATGGAGTTCCTGAGCATACAGAAGCATCGGCACCGAAGCGTTGCATGGCACTTGCTGTCAAGCAAAAAAAGCTCAAAAAACGTTGGACAGGTCCCCCCCCCCGCCATGCAAAGTTTTCTTCGGGCCTATCAACATTTTAGCGCAGAACACTGCACGAACCCGGGATCTGAGGCTAACGCTGCTCGCGCAACATGACCCATGCTCCTGCTCAAAGCTTGGCCTGCCTGTCTACATTGCCGCCACGCACGCTCCATGACGCAGTCGTGTCCTCCAAGAAGGCTACCAGGCAGGAACGCAGCCCACTGGAAGCGCAATGTTAGCTGTACTGCTTTGTGCTTGTGATGTTTATAGGTGTTCCTGAAGACCAATGTTATGTTTGATATTGCGCCTTTGACCCTGCACGTCTACAAAGTTGCATGACGACCTACCTCTATTTTTGCTATGCCTGATGCAAAGGTCGCACTATGCCCGATGCCCGAAGCGGCTACGCGTGGATCAGGATGCCAGTGGCAGCGCGAGAACAGCAGACCAGACACCGCGTGATGTGAACACACATTAACGACATAGAGCTTCTCGCTCACGGGGTTTGTCAGCCTGCAACTTGGGCATAGGTCATTGGAGGGTCTGACAGCAACTCGACCCCATGTGCGAAGAGCGACATAGCCTGGCGAGAAAGACTTCGCTGGTTTAGCTGATCCGGAACAGGGGGCAAACACCGAACGTGGAAACCTGTACCTCTGTGCTCAGGAGCCCTGCAAACAACAGTCCAAGCACTGAAGGGACGCTGGCCGACTCACGAAGCCTGAAGCCGAAAGAGACGGCCTGCTCGCTGTTAGAATAATCATGGCGTTTCCTGGTGTGTCATGGTTATTTGTGCCTCCCATCAATGGTTGGATGGTCTCCACAACATGATTTGGACATGCAGGTTAGACGCAACACTCATCCATTTTCGGCAGCACTGTCGAACAATGTCACTTCAATCAGCCTGCACAGGCTTCATCGCCGTGTCAGACAAGCAGACTGCACATGGTGACACCCTCGTTACCACCAGGTTTTTGCTTTGATAGATGCTTCCACATCGCACTCACATGATTTGTAGACGAAGATGTACCTTGCGCGGGTCGGAGGCTACTTTTGCTCTGCCGAGCTCACACATGTGCAGGGTGCATTAGGAGGCACGGCACGCCAGCAGGCCAAGCCTGCATCTGCTGCGTTCACTGGTCTTCTGAAGCGAAAGCATCCGACTGCTCAGCTAGCTGTCAACTACTGATGCATGCTACGTAACAGAATGCTGAGATCACAGCCCAAACCGAGAAGCGCCAGTACCAACGAGCCGGAGCGTTCCAGAACCTCCGTCAAGTTATATGAGATGTGACCAATTTCGCAGAGGGACGTCTGAGCGCACAACCACTGCCACATGATCTTCTGCTGAAGGTGGGAGAAAGTCTGCTTGATCTGCAGGAAGAAAACATGATCTGTCCAATCGCTCAGAGAAGACACAGCAGCAGCACTGCCTTGCCTCTCCTCCGGGCACCTGTACAAGGTCGTGGTCCAAAATCATCAAAAGCAAACTAACATTTGTACCACTCCAGGAGGCCTGCGATCGGTTGGCCCACCAGATGTGCGCCTGCAAAAGCTAAGCGACGGGGAGTAAGAGGAGGGAGAAGGAGGGGGAAAGAATGCCAACGTCTACATATCGTGGCGCAGCCTCAGGTGGGACCGGGTAGCTGCCCACTCGAAGTTGATCCTGTGAAGGTCTTGCCAATTCTTGACATCGCATCTTGTGCTGGAACTCTACACTCTCTGCGCACACACTCGCTACGCCCTGACGGTCCCGCGCACTCGTCTTCCGGAGCGACAGAAGCTCGGACGTGCGCGCCACCGCTCGGCGCAGGGACCTGACACTTGACTTGGAAGTGAGCCCGATGTGAGCAGGGGCACACGGACACAAAGATCCCCAATGCATGCCGAAGGCGCATGTTGAAATCGGATTTCAGCAACGTGACGCTACTGAACTAAGACATATATGCTCTGGGCGCCGATGGCAGCAAGAAGTTCATGCAAGCTGAAGTCCCACTCTGGTTAGCGTGGTCCGTGCAAGGGCTGCGGGTGTGCTTTTTTTCACGCGACTAGTGCCACATTTGCAGGAAGGGACATCGAGAAATAACAACAGCAAGCCGGTGTTTTCAGCTGCTGGCTGCCCAACCACCGCGCGTGTCTCTGTCGAAAAGAAACACGCGCCTGTACGTTAGCACTTCCTCCTTTGTGCCCTAGCATGCGGCACTTTGAAGGGCGAATTCCAGTGAACATATTGTTCAAGAATTCTTGCTTTGCTGTCGTCAATGTAGTCTATTTCCAGATGCTGAGGCAGATCTGTGCATCATGCACTTCGCCACGATTCAAGACACTGGCTGGAGCAAGCAGCGCGCTTGCACACCATGCTCAGGGCTTTTCGTCATCAGGCCTAGAGAGATCGTGTTCGAAGTGGCAGCAAGCTGTTCCATTAGTCGACAACAGGAGAATGCCAAGCTTTGCGCAAACATCTTTTTGCGTCGTCGTGCAGCTGCTGCACTGGGTTTAGCCTTTGCAAGACTTGGCAATGGAAGTGGCTTGTGGTTTCAACACCTGAAGCAACCACAAGCGAAGACAACACGAGCTATGTGCTGCATCTTCGTCATCTCCACTTCGGGCGACCCTTGCCTCGAGGAACTGAAGCTAACATGGCTTCGACTCTTCAACTTTTGGGTCCCACCGAAGACTCGCTTTCAAAGCAGCACCAAATCACTCCCGGCTCCTGCATCCTCTCGGCCATTCTTGCTTCCAGGGCCTGTGCGCAATCGCGCATGCTGCAATGCTGGTACTTTCCCGCAACTCTTGTGGCTGGTTCTTTGCCTCTGTGTCTGATCGAAGAGACTGAAGCTCCTGCCAGGCTCCAAATATACAGATGCAATGTCGTGATCGATTCTGCAGGGTAGGCCTGTAGTAGATCTGCACCAGCCAAAACTTTGTCCCTGCACAATGCAACATGGACCAAGCTGGTGCAACTGGAGTTGGGGCAAGATGCTTCGAGTTTTCTACGATGGGCCTTTCTCCAGACCGTTTGGGTTTGGAACGCCCTGATGGACTGTCGAAAGCTTCTTGAAACCTCCACACAGCAGAACAGCTTGCAACACTTGCACTATGCAGCAAAAATTCCCCTTCCGAGGCCGAGCACTCCTCACGAAGCTTTGCATCCACCTGTCTGGTGACTCTAGCGGACTCTAGCGAAGCGTCTGGTTTGCTATCTTTAGTCATTTCCCAGCGTGACTCGCAGATGCTCAGTGCTACTACAGACTTGCCGGTACATGCTATGCCCCAGCAAGAAGAGATCAATGGCAAGTGCAAGCCAGCCATGGTGCTATTGTGAATACCGGATACCGTTTTCGGGATCTGCCCAGCACATGTGCCGCTGCAATGCTCACACTAGAAACCATGTACTGTTCTTGGGTATGCCGGGTCAAGCTCAGGCTGTCTGACCGAGGCGCACGCAGAACAAACCCACAGAATGTGCGCGCACAGGCGAACTTCAAAAACAAATGAACGACACCACGCTGAAACTGGACCGGCAGGGCCACGTCAACTACGATGCCCAGCTGCCTAACCGAGTCTACCCATTTAATGTGTACATACATATACACATATGTATATACATATGTACATAATGTATGTGCAACATGAACTTTTTGGGCGTGGGAACACCGCAGCTGAAACATTCGGCGACCCCGAGTGTCATGCGTGCGACTGCAAGCTGCGACAGAATTGGTCAGCATCCACTTGACCTAAACACATATGAGCGAAATGCCTTCCTGCGATCAGAAGCCCCGGAGGCCTCCTTCTCTTCTCCTACCTGGCCCGGCGAATCACTGCGACTGATGTTTATGCCAGAATCACCAGCGTACGCAAAGGCCATAAGGATGTCTGAGGACCTGCTGTACTTCACGAGCAAGGCCATTGCTTTCCTGGCTGCATGGAATTGCATGCCATCCCTCGCAACTCCATGCCCACAACGTGGAGAACAGGAGAACAACCAGACAAGTACATTGAAAAGAAGGCAAACCGTCACAGAAGGTAGCAAGGAGCCATCACCATCCCCTTCCATGCTAACCTGTTAATGTGGATTACCAGAAGCAGGTGCAGACAGATCCCCACCTCTGGTTCGGCTGCAGGATTAGTCTCTGCAGACCTACTGCGGGCGAACGTTTGCTCCCCATGGCATGTGCTGCTCTCACAGATTGCCCCGCTTCTGTTCGTCAAGCTCCCTCGCATCTGGTCCACCTTTCGCCTGAGGGGACACCACATGACACCACCAATCCAAACAGATGTCGGAGCTTCTTTGCTTCATAACGAGTGTTGCATTCAGCTGCTGGCAGCGTGGCCACCACCCTTCTTCTTCCGCTTCTTCTTCGCCTTGCGGCAAGGGCTGCAAGTTTCTAACATGCCAAAGACCGACAGTTTTTACGAACTCTCGGCCTCTGTCTGGTTCTCTCTGTCACCTGGTGGCGGCATGACGTGAAACACGGCAGATGTAAGCGGCACATCATGTTAAATGCGCCTTGCTGCTTGGAAGGAGCAGCCGGTTGCCTCGCTTCCGCGAAATACGAAGCACATGCTTGACCCCATGACATCCCGATGCTCCTGCTATGCTCCTGCCTGCTTTGCGACTGGCTTTTTGGCTCGCCAGCAATAGCCTTCTAAGGCCACTCGACCAATGAAACAAACTCAATTTCCCCTCCATGCTGCCTCCATTACCTTCTGCATTCGCATCTCCACCGCCTCTAGAACATAGGAATTGCAGGTTTCACAGGTCGTCCACATCATTGCTTGACGGACTGAAAATGAAGTCTGAATCTAATACCTTTGATGCTTGAAATCCGTTGCCTTGCAGCCCTCCTCCAAGTTGCCAACAAGCTTCTTGCCCATTGACCGTACCTAGCTGCGACAGCAACAGCTGGCATTGACAATGAGAGAAGGCAGAACGACATCTGAGTTCTGCTGTTTCCGACAGTCTGCCTGACGAATTTCTGACATCACGAAATCCTGCTCAAGAGGGTCGAGTCTGCCTTGGCCCTCCAACCAAAACGCAACAATGACGTCCTGAATCTCGGCACTGATGAGGGGAGCCTCTTTGCCAGGTGCCTTCTGAAAAACCCACGACAACTCATTTATTGTGGGCCGTACTCGTTCCCTGAAGCAAAGAGTCCCGTTGCCTGAGTAGCAGTAGCAGCGCGATGAGTCGCTGCAGTTAGATCTCGGCCAGAGAGGTCGAACGCAGACATAATAGACAAAAAACTACAAATGCCCAGCTGGACACCCTCCAGGACTCGAAGCACTTCTGCACGAGCCCTCACCAGCACCTATTCGGCAGTTGCGCTGGGGAACATGAAGAAAACTAAAGCGATGCCGTGTAACTGAACGCTCACACACATGTCCATCTGCCTGGCTCTGCTGGCGAAGGCCGTCTCTTATGCCCTCCAAAGGCTCTTCAAAGGTAGCCAGGGTCCTGCCGTCAAAAGTATCGCTGATCTCCTCATTCCAAAACGAAAACGAACTTCATCCAACTACCTCCATGCATCCTTATTAAATAGTTTATCATCAGACAGACGCAGGCAGGCTGGAATTGGTTGGAATCTCCTTTTCAGAGCTTCTGAGACGTTCAGCTGCAGCTCAGACTTGTGTGCCTTCTGGGAAGCCTCTCTACATTCAGTCACGTTAGGCAAGCTGCGGCTGAACACGAAGTAAAGCCGCATGCCTGTAGTGATGTCACGGTTCTGCTCAAGGCGGCGCTCTCCTCCTCAGCACCCCCCATTATGTTTTTAAATACAAATTATGTATATTTAGCTTTTTAATTTATTGTCACAAAGAGGGCTCTGGGCTCTGCAAACTCTGAGGCCCTGGCCTGCAGCTGTGCTATCGAGGACATCTGCACCTGCTGAGGGCGCCCTACCCGGCCCTACCCTTCATCTGAACATTCTCACTGCTCAATCTGCTCAACAGTTCCCTGGGCCCCTGGGCCTGCAGCTGCTCGCTCAGCTTGCTCATGTGCGCTCGGGTTTCCTCACGGAACATTGCAACGCCTGCAGAGAGATGACATTGGCCCAATGACAATCGCTGCTACCAGAAGCACTCCTTCATTCCGTCATCGACAGTCGGAGGAATCAGACCGGGCCTGGGGAGGTAATGAAGGTAAGTCAAGGGAACCTCTACTAGTACGAGATGTTTCGGGCCCCTTTCTTTGGGGCCCGGGCGGAGCACTGGAGAGCAGCAGAGCGAGCGCTGAGTCCGTCCTGCGCTGTGCCATATTGCCACAGCCACCGTGGTTGAGTCAAAAAAAAAAAAAAAAAAAAAAAAAAAAAAAAAAAACGCCTCTCCTCATGAGGACATCAAGCATGGGCTGCAGGCTTAAACTTTGGCAGCGCTCTACCTCAACATGTCTCGGGACCAGCATTTTTGACGCCCCTCAGCACCCTGAGCATCCCGCCCACGCGGCATTGTGCTCCCGCAACCACTCAGCCTGAGCTGTGGCAGCTCTGGCTGCAACATCTACTTCTCAAGGTGCTGCGCCCACCTCGCTCTCAGCAATGGCCAAGCTGCCCTCCAGCTCAAAAGCCACAGCCTGAAGAGCTGGGCCCGGTTGCAAAGGCAAAATTGGGAGGGACGCCGAAATCACTTCTTTACATCTCAGCCCGTTTCGACAGGCTCGGCACTGTCATCGGCCTTGGGTGCCAAGGGCCAGGGTGGGGGCTGGGGAGTCACAGGTCTAAAGCACGGGCAATGCAAACGCCAGTAACCGGACCCACCCAGAGTGAGGCAACTCCACCGACGAGCACCCTCGACAGATGCGGCTACACACTTTTGCGCTCTGGCCGCGGCAGCTCGAAGCGTCTGCTCCAAGGACAGCTGCTCCTGGCACATTTCGCGACCCGAAACGACCCAAAGAATCAAGAGAAGCATGCGTCTTCCGGCTCCTTCTCCACGGTCTCGAGCGAACCTGATGACTGAAGTACATGGCTAAGCTTTTCTCAACGCCTTGTGAGACTTGGCCAGAGTGCCTACGGTTTCTCTCCAAGGTACGCTTCATCAAGTCGAACTCGTCCAGAAGCTGTGCCTGGGCAGACACTTTAAGTGTATAGCAGGCCTCTTCGGGCAGCTACAAGGCCTATACACCCCAAGGGCCCATGGACCACGCCAGTGTCCAGCTCGTCGTGAGCATGCTCCATCTTAGTGCCCGGCCGACAGAGTGGAGACATGTTCGGAGTTGAAAGCCTTGGAGTCCTGCGAAGCAATGCGATGCGCAGCATGCGCAGCGTCTTGCCGTGCTTTGCAGGCCTTGCCATCACCAGGCTGAGGCTTTCCTTTCTTCGACTTCGGCCTTTCACACAGCTCGGCCCAACATCAGCAGCATGCCGCACGGTAAAGCAGCAAGCTGCTTCCAGCAGTGGAAACGAAGTGTGGGGCAAAGGCTCTTTCAGTTGATGCTTCAGCTGGGCCTGCATGGCACCGGCATCGTCAGCATTACGAGGCATGAAACAGCAGCAGCCTCCAAACCATCCACCGCCAGCAGCACGCCCTTCACCTCAGAATCCGTCTGCAACTATTGGTCATCGTTTCCTTCCCGTGTGACGGTGCCACCGAAGCACGTCACTGCCCCAACTTTCAATTCGTCCAATCTCTTCAGCGAGCGATGCCTGTCAAAAAACCACAAGACTTCGACAAACTGCGACTAAACGAGTTGACTGGAGGCCCTCTCCGCCTGCAATGCTTGCTGGATCTTCAGCCTGTGCTCGGCCTGAAGCCACTGCGGATGGTTGCTGACATCGCTACATCCAAAACACTTGCCACCTGCTTTTCCTGAAGCTTTTGCAGGATCATGTCGCCCATGGACTCGCCCTCCAGAAATACTGGGCAGCCAGTGTTATAAGACGTGGACCGTGGGGTGCCCATGAAGCACTCGAATTATCCCGACAGTACGACCCTCTGTATGGAAGGTGAAAGAATGAGACGAGGCACATGACATGGCAATGTGCAAGGCAGAATGTGTTGCCACCTGGAGCTCGCGGTAAAGGCGCTCTTCTTCGTCCAGCTGTGACGAGCCTCCATGGTGGCACGGCACAGGCTTAGGCACACAAACCTCCACAATCCAAGCGTGCCTGAAGGCTGCACCTGGGTGACATGCATTGTCCAAAAGTTCGGCCGGGTGCCCGGTAAAAGTGCCGGCAAGACCGGTTGCTTCGCCTGGCTTTGCTGGGCCTCGGAGCCCACGTGAGCCATGTGCTCAGCAAATCTGCAAAAGGATGAACGAAGACTAAGCTCGCATCATCCTCCGTAAGGGACCAATGACAGTTTCAGGCAAGTCTAGGTCTTGGGCGCGTTTCATATCCTTCCTTGTTTGCATCAAAGCCTCAAGGTATTGGGGTCCAACAGGGCGGCATACAACGATCATTCGCAGGTCGTTGCCTCCTCCATCTGCTTGCAGCCTTCACTCAGGCGGCGGACCTGCGTCTTGCCCGAAACCAGAAGCTCACAAAGCACAGCATGGCACAGAGCCCTCTGAAGCCTGCTCGGCAAGCTTGTGATTCCTCACCAGAACTCGTTGCTCTGGGCAGTTTTCCCGGAGTGCACTTGAGCAGAGCCAAGAATGATCGGCAGAATTGTCCGACATGCGTCTTGCCACCAAGAAACTCGCTGGTCAAACGCAGAATCGTCTCTTCCTTTCCTCGTTCCTGCAGTTCCCGAAACAGCAACACGGTGATATTGAACATAGGACGGACAGTCGAAAAAGAAACTGCTAAGCTCGGCTCCATTTGTAAGAAGAAGGAGTTGTCCACAGGAGCTGACCTCATCGGAATGGTCACTCTACCACAAGTTCAATCGAGCCCAACGGCAATCATCTCTCTGTTGCACCCATGAAGGCAGGGGCGGTGGGGCCTTTTGCGCAGGCGGTGGCTCCGGCACCTGTTCAGGCCCCATCCGACAAGCGAGCCTTGCAACAGCGACACGCTGCCTTCGCAGCTGCATCTTCCGCCTCCTTCAAACGTTCTGTCAGGGCCTGCCGAGAAACTTTCGCAGTCTGTAGATGTACCCGAACCCAGGCAGGGATCTACACAAGTTCCTGCCTGGTTCTCGTCATCCAAAGCCTGATGGTGCCACACTGCCGCAGTCAGACATTGCCTAAGGGAATACAGCATAGGCCTATGGAAGATATCTGGGGATCAGGACATTGAAGTCATCACAATCGCATCCAAAACAATAGCCAAACAACGTGCCTCACACGAATTGAGCAAGGATCGGTTCCTCGCTACCAAGTCCTGCAGCACTCAGAGTTGATCACGCTCGGGCCGCATAGCGGCGTGATGGACCTGCTTGTTTGCGTCCTTTTCCCACATGTTCAGGGTCGAAAACTGCAAAACGGCAAAACAGTTCATGCTCCTTCCGTTTGTCGGAGCATGTGTTGCACGCAGGTTGAATTAAAGCAAGGCGTGACCCTCGGTTCTCGCCTGTGCCAGTGAAAAAGGGCAGCATGTGAGCCCTACTATCGTGGTGTCAATCACACCCTGCGGCCTACGCCCTGCGTCCGTCAACAACGTGTTTGTGCTTGCATGGTGCGGGATGTACAACATGGAGACGCAAGACCGGCGCTTGTGCTGGATCTGCAGCTGGGCCCAAGTGCGGGCATGTTAAAAACATCGCCACACTATGCTCAGAGAAAACCACAAGTACCTGGTCAGCAGGATGCACCAAAGTCACATCATAGGCAACACCAGGGCAACGACACTCTCGTCGCACAGTGCTGCGATTTACTTCTTTACTCCTTCTGAAGAACGGAAAGACACAAACAGAAATAAACGCAGAAAAATTTACATACAGCGAGAAATGCAGACAGAAGAAAACAGAAATATAGAATCATGCATGATCAAGAAATGAAGAATAAAGAAATAAAGAAATAGAGAAACAGAGAAATTGAGAAATAGAGAATTAAATTCACATCCATGCAGCCATGCAGAAATTTTCAGCATTACAGAATACAGACATGCAGAAACAACGAAACAGAGCAGTTAAAGAATTAAAGAAATAAAGACATACAGAAATACAGAAAAAATGAACACAGACATAAAGAAATAAGTCAAAAAAGATATACATGAATACAGAAATAGAGATATTAAAGATATGCAGAAATAAAGAAACTTACGATACTTTTTGGAAAATCGTTCGTGGTCCTGACCCTTTTTTGGCTTGTTGCGATCGTTACCTAAGCTTGTCCGATTATCCCTATGGCATGGCTGGAGGGGACGGTCTCGTCAATCGTTGAGATTTTTGCGTTGAGATATAGCGTAACATGTTAGCATAACAAGGCTCACACTGAGAAGGGCTCGGAGAGGCATACGTTTGTTTCATCGCATTGCTGAGTACGGGACACATGCTCTTCGTGTCGCCAGCGCCTTCGACCTTGATCTCCGGAGCTCCCTGAGACAATCTCACGTCAGGCTTCAGGTGTATGACCCAGCCCACCATGCGACGGTCAAGACAGTCAAGCCCATGAGCAAACCTCTTGCACAAGCGCAGGTATGGGCGGCCTTGTCGTCGGTCACATCACTCGGCTTGTCCTGCAAACAGTACATTACAGTACATTGAGTTGTGGTGATGGAGGCGCCGGGGGGTGTGAGGGGGAGTGGCACAGTGGCGAGATGTGGCACTGAAGCTAATTGGCTAAACCTTTGCACACCTCAATGCAGTGCATGAACTGGGGTCCAGCTGCTTCAAGTCTGCGAGCGGCGTCCACTCGGCCTTGCCATCATCATACTTCCTGATTCCACGCGGCAAGCATCTTCTGTTCTGAAGAGATGCAGAACATGTTGCAGCACGTCCGGCGACAGGCTAGGAGAAAAAACTCATCAGGCACATGTTCGTGTTGGTGCAGTCAAGCTACACCAGCACATCCTCGCAGCAGAAGCTTGCAATGACATCCGAACATCAACGACAGCATCTTGCAGTGCAGCTGGTTGCATCAGGGACTCTGTTGCAGTCTGCTGCATCACCTTTCCACTCATGCCACTGCGAACGTTCGTCACCTGTGGGAGACGAGGCCATGACATCCTATTGCATTTGGGACGCTGCTGCTGTGTGAGCCAAGTGGCATCCATGCCCATCTGCACATCCAAGGCGGGAGTTTCCTGCTCCTTCAAAAGATGTGTCGCCCACCAATGCAGACTACAGCAACCCATCACCTCAAGAGCCGGGCACCTGCCATTCCCACGTATTCTTTGCATGTGTTGCTTTGTTCTGTGACAATGGCGGCATTGGTGCTTTTCGGCGCAGAAGTTCAGAAGGGGACGTGTCTGGAGTTAAGGACTCTAGGAATGCAGAGTTCGAAGTTGACAAGGCTTGAGGATGTCTGTTCGGGATTCCTGTGTTTACAGACAGTCACTTCTCTGAACAACTGGCGGTCCCCGTAGCCGAGCATCTCGGCGACCCCATCCATGACCTTCAAGGTACCGCAGGTCAGCACTCAATGACCAAGCGTTTGCCATCTGCCATGCCAATCAAGCACAGGGACTCTCATGATGACTCACGCACCACAGCAAGTGAACCATCTTTGAGGTTCGTCCTTTGGAATAGAACTTAGTCGTCACAACTCTCGCACCTTCTCGGCAGCGGCTTGAACCTGACCAGTTTCCGGCATGCTGTGGTATCACAGATCTTGAATATCTTTAGTCTCAGAATCTCTACGATTCCGACCTGCTCCGCAACAGTGGCCTGCCGGTTCTCGCAATGGAGATTGCTATCCATGGGTCTGTGAGCATGAGCCAAGCTAGTTCAGGACCGCCTGTTCCTCTGGCTTGGGTTCTTCCTTCTTCTCCTTGTCGAAACATGGTCAAGAAAGTCAAGAGCTGCCAGGGGCTTGTGGAAGTGTGAGTCTGGCCTCTGGCTTCGGCACTTCCTTGGCAGGCTCTGGTTCCGTCTTCGCGGGCGCAGCCTCTCTAGCTTTGCCACAAACTGTGAACTTCAGCTCAATGAAAGTCAGCAAAGGGATGCCTGGGGAGGAGTAGCCTGGGTCGATTTGCTTCCGTTGCAGCCCATCCTCAAGTGACGAAAGCACAATGCAAGCAGAATGTGGCACAACGCAAGCAAGAAACGAGCTTGCGCGCGCGGATCGATATTGCAGAAGCCAAGCATCTTGAATTGCAGGATCTCAGGAAGTCTCAGAAAAAACCCAGGTGCTTGAAGCAAGGCTTGATCCACGTGCAGCTTCGGCCCCAAGCACTGTCTCCACAGCAACATGTGAGAGAGCTTTCAGAACTTTCTTCACCGTCAAGATTCAGAAGCCACAACTCAATTGAGAGAGCACGTCCTGCACGGCCTTCTCCTTTGCCCTCAAACTCTTCATCAGCTTATCTGCCTCATGCTCTACTCCGCTTGCGCTCCCTTTAGCCAAGCGGAGCTTGAACAGACACTTCACACACACGAACCACAAGAACTCACAGCTTTGCTACCATGATGTAGCTACCGCCGATGGTAGTTGCAGCCTTCTCTGATGGAAGGTGGTGTAGCAGCTCCAAGGCCAAATAGTCCACCTCCACGCCAGTTGTCACTTTCCCCTCCCCAACCACAATTCTCACGATACTTCCGAATGACTACAAAGGCAACCCTAAACCTTTTCTAAAGACTGTAGATGGCTGGATTTCCGGGCCTCCTCGTCTTCGGCAAAGTCAGATGGGTTGGAGATCGCCGAATGCCTTGCAAAGGCTGCCTCTAACTGTCTTGCAAAGCCCGGTGCCGCTTCTGAAAGGCTGCGACACAGAAAGGTTCTCATCATCCTGGCAGCAATAACTGCGCACAGATACAGCCACACAAACGGCACTCAGTCTGGAAGATGCGGTGTCAAACAATGCGAGAGGTCCGAATCCATCATCTGGTGATTTATCTCCGCCTCGGGATTGGATCGAAAGATGAAGCGGCTCAAGGAACAAACAGCACAAAAAAACTGAGCTTCAAACCATGACTGGAGGTTGGCTTCCAGCTTCCGGAGGGAGCGAAAAGTAAACTTGCTAGGTCAGATGCATCGCATGTTGCCTGAAGCATACCGTTAGTAACTTAATTTGCATCGGGTGCGAGTGTGTGAGAGTGTATCTGTGTGGGTCGGCGTGTGTGCGTGTGTGTGAGTGTGTGTCAGTGTGTGTGAGTGTGTGTCTGTGTGTGGTGTTTGTGCGTGCGGCGTTGATTGTAGGATCCTTCGTGGCTGGAACGCGCGCCAGGGCAACACGTAAGACCATCCTCTGGTTCCACAAAAAGTTAAATGAGCTTGGGCGGTTGGGATCCTAGTTCCAAGGGGCTTAAGATTTCAATCAAGTCTTGCGCTTCAACTTTGAAGCCGAACTCACCGTGGCGGAGCCAACAGCACAACGCGCAATTTCGATTCACCTGCTGCAGTAAACCTCGCGAAGCCCCAGGCCCCAAATGCCACAGGGCTCAGGATTTAGGTTCAGGACCTTTGGGTTCAGGATTTAGGGGTTTAGGGTTTAAGGTTCAGGGTTTGCTTGCATGCTCTTGCTTTCAAGAGTTTCGCTTCAAGGCTTTGGGGTCGGAGTTCAAGGGTTTAGGGTGCAGGGTTCAGGGTTTAGGGTGTTGGGGTTTGGGGTTTAGAGTTCAAGGTTTAGACTGGATTGCTTCGGGCTTGAGGACGGCTTAAGGTTGGAGGTCAAGCTTCAGGCTTTCAGTTTTCATAGGCGTAGCCCGCCTACGACAGATTTCAAGTTTAGGATTTGGGCTTTATGGGGTTTAGGTGCTGAATGCTGCGCGCCAGGTTTTTGGCTTTAGGATGTTCTGGGGGAATGGGACATGTTTGTTGTCTAACTTGTTTTTGCAGGAACTGCCGGACTGGTAGGAAACAACAGTCAACAGCGCAGCAAACTTCGCTCCACACGCAAATACATATAGAGAGATTTTTACTTGTTGTTACTTATTGCGTTACAGCGGCTAGAAATCTAACACGGGGAAGAAGTGCTGCTCTGCCTGTTTGTGATCTGCAATTGCACGGCCAGCAGTCATAAAGTGTCATAAACGAATTTGGCGCATTTGCGCCAGCTTTCAGTTTCGATAATACGGCTTGCTGGGCGCAGGCATATACAGATGACGTCGCCCCATCTTGAAGCCAAGAGCCTTGCCTGTTCGAAAGGCTTGCGTACGCATGTATAGTTTTATGTCATGTTCGAACAGCATGGCCGACACCGTATCCGCCCTGCTCGCACATAGTCATCTGCCTTGTTTCCGACCTAGTGCTGCGGGAGTGACGTGAGTGACTCGCACTGTGAATCATGTCGTTGCAACGATCGCTGGAGCCGCTTGAGCAAAATGTTCGCGAAACGGGGCTCCAAGATGCTCCAAATAACTCACACTCCAACTTGTGCATTACAAGATCGCACCCTGTACTGGAAGATCAATGCCTATAAGATAATCGCCAATGTTATTGAAAAAGTACTGCACTCCACTATCTCTGCATCACAACTGTTTGTACAGCTATGTAAGACCTGCAGGACCTGCAGAACTTTTCGCGGAGAGAAAAGCTCCTGGAAGCTATCTGGTGAAAATCCATTTCCGCTCAAACCTGGCCAGATGCCAGAATAACTTGAGAGCACGATTCAGAGATCTAGAAGCACAACTTCGTGGGCATATTGCAATGAGAGCGGTCGGCAGCACTGCTTAGAACGCTTAGCCTGATTCAGCCAGCATGAAGCAGTATGGTTCCTCGGTGAGCACGGCCCTGCAAGAGAGATGAGAGTGCGCATGCTTGACACGCTCATCGGTACAAATCTATTTTGTTGCAAACGGAATGTTGTTGGTGCGACGGAAATTCCCACTATGAGTCACGTCGCTTTCAGGGTACATACAACTTTGGCACCAGACATTGCTGGCACGAGTTTCCAAGTTGGGGAGAACAAGACACGGTATGCGTTCACATTGCTTTGCCCTCAGACATGGACACGAAATGGCTCCCGCTGACTCGCCGCACATGACGAATGTCCCGTCACTCTCTGTCCTTGCAAAGCAGCAAAGCACACCCTCGGTCAAAAGCTTGGGGCCACCCAGGTTGACTTCCCCTCTCTTCTGCCAGACCTCTGGCCGAAACCTCAAAAGTCGAAGACGCAAAGCCTGACCACCTAACTCCAACGTCACCAGTCAAGCGAGTGAAGCGCACTCGTATGATGGGCCTGGCACATTGGCCACGAAGCTTGAGCTGATCGAAGAGACCTTGCTACAAGTCCACGCGAACTCAGGATTTAGCAGCGGGGATTCTGGACGAAGTGCACGACGCCACATGGTGTCACATCACTCCAAAGCCAGCCACGAGGTTCTTGGGCTCAGACCGCCCACGACTTGGACTGCGCATCAACAGCAGGGCCCTTAGTGTGCACGCGACGCGCGAGAAAGCAGGGGCCAAGGATCTGTCCGGATTCCTTCTCAACAAATATTGCCATTAAACCGACGAGGCGGCAAGAAGTCCACAAACCCTGCGCACTCAGGCTCAGACTGCAAAAGTCTGCGACGACCATCTGCAACAGCAAGGCCGCTACATATGTATCAGGAAGCGCGAACAGCAAAGCCTTGGATGGACTTCGGCTGGGCCCCAGGCAACGAGGATCTCCCACCCGTTTTTCTCATCTTCTTTGGTGCGAAGCGGGCCTCCCCGCCTCAGCGTTAGGCGATGAAGACCCTTACTGTAACACACGGTCCGTGCCCCGTCACAGTGCAGCGCCTGCCCTATACGAGTTTCAAGCGCCCGATCACAGCCCGATTAGATAGACAACCCAGCTCCTTTGCGGGATAACAGGTCTCAAGATGACACTGTAAGCTTCAAACCCGACTCAAAGTCCCAAGCCGGAAAAGTCAGAGCACGACAGCGCGAAAAGCGGATCTTCAGCGAAGCCCCTTATTGGGGAGCCAGCAGCACTCGCTGGACCGCTTCTGGGTCCTCGTCCAGCTTTCGGGTTCATGAGGGGCGAGCCGGGTCTGCAAGGCGGGAAGTTCGACCACATGTTCATGCCTGGAATAAAACCTGAAGTTTTCGAGGTGCTAGGACCTCCAGGTTTCAGGGGGCGTAATAGGATGTTCAGGATAAGAATCGACAATGACTTACACGGACACGACGCGGCATCGTCGTGTCGGAGATCAATGCGCCACCCTCGCCAAAGCCAAAGTCCTAGTCCTAATCACTGAACAGCCTCTGAGGTAGCGACACCGTGAGACTTCTACGCCAACTTGCAAAGCCCTAACATCAATCCAAGAGCCCTAAAGCCGTACACGTATCCCGTGCCCAGTAGACTGTGAAGCACAAAGCCTGACGCGCTGCTTCTTGCAAGGCTGAGCACGGCACTTCCTTCGGGCCTCCAGCGGGCTTTAACAAGTTAAGGACTCCGGCATTTCTGTTGAAACATTTATGATTCCGGTTTTCGGGTTCGGGACTTGGGCTCTACTAGGAGCATGACAAGCCTACACCACGCACAGGATTGTTGCTAAAGAAGTTGGAAGGTCTCAGCCGGGCCGGGTCATAGTTTTGGACCTTCTTCCATCTCGGAGGTTTTGGCTGGCGTCAGAACTGAGCCCGAAATCTTCAACCCCAACTTTCCAGCAGAAACTCTTGAACCCGAAACGCAAGTTGATTCGGGTTTTGGCATCTAGGACACAAGTTGACACAAGACTCGACTCTGGACCAGTTCGGTGTAGGACCGGGTTTACGCTTCAGAGTGCAAGTTGGTGCTTCAACTGTGCCCAGTGTTACTGCCCTGTCACCAGGGTCAGCACGTTTGTTTGGATCTCACGTAAACCTCATGGACTCATGGATCGAGTTCCAAAAGCCCAACCCTCACTAACGAGCCATCCCAAATCGCAACCAAGACCCTGATTCTCGACCAAACCGCCCGAAACCCACAAACCCTAGCCTTGCCACGGCTTGCCCTAAACCCTGAATTTTAGGACGTCAAGGTGTCTCTAAGCCCCGGGCGTGTCAATGTTGCCCACAACTTGCACGTCCGGCCGTCCGGCCAAGGGCACAAGCGCCGGTTCTGACGGAGTTGTGGCATTACGGGCTCGTAAACGGTTTCGGGATAATGGCAAGTGGCAGCTGATGCTCACTCGATGACTCTTGGCAACCCTTTAACAACCGTACAACCGTACATACGCAAAGCCAACTCCCAAGCCGTAAACAAGAACCGCTTAGCATCAGAAAAAATTTCCTGGTGGATGACCCAACATAATGCGCCATGAAAGCAACGCGAGGATCAAATGATGGTTTGTGTCTTGATACATCTTTGGGGATGGCGAAGGCTCGCACTGCGAATCATGTGGCTGCAAAGATCGCTTGAGCAAGACGTTCGCAAGGCTCCAAGACGGATCACGCTCCAGCTTGCGTCACGGCACTTGGCAATTGCACACACTGGCCAATGCTTTGGTGCCCTGTTGCACCGATAACTTTCTAGACTCGTCGAGCGTTGTAAAAGCAGCAGACCTTGCTCCAGTTCTGTCGGAGGCTCGAGATGAAACCAACTTAATGACCCCCGGCAACTTGCGAGAACCGACTGGCGACGAAAACCTGCCGGGCCCGCACAGCCAGTCAGAACTTTCTTCAAACAGGTGCCGAACTTCTCCGAAACCTTCAGTAAATCTTCAAGAATTGTGGAATCCACCTATTCTTAAAAAGAAAATATTGAGTCCCATCGCTGAATCCAATGCATTTGAATTTTTTCAAACACATTCTAATCTTAAAATATCTGACTTCGATACCCTTCTACACTTCAGCATCACCGAATTCACGCTTATGCATACGTGCATGGAACTCATGGAACAACTCACACCGCACGGGGACACGAGCTATCTTTTCTGAACAAAGTGAACATTCTTCGGACGGTTGCACTTGTT